GGAACAGCTGGAGCCTGTTCCCAGTGTGCACATGTGCAGAGCTGCCAGAAGACAAGAACAGCTAAGAAAGCAGAGTCAACTTGGGAGTAAAGCCATACCTTGGAGGTGATTGGCTATAGGAAACAAAAGAGGAGAGAGCTTTTGCAGGAAGCAATTCATTCCTTTGGTCATTTTAAGAGTGGAAAGTTCTGTTTGTGATTATAAGAGACTCTGTGCCAAGTGTTGCCTTGCCATGCATTTGGAAACTAGTGAACTGGCAGCTCTCCAAGTGAGATAAGGTTCGTGTTGATAAATATTCCTCTGAAAGACTGTTTGCCCAGCCTTGCTGACTGTGAATGAAAAGAATAAAATAAAAGAGTTTTTGCCGAGACCCAGACTCTGCTTCATGCTTTTTAAGGAAGCCTGGGTCATATGACAGTCCAGATGATACACAATTGTGGCTTATTTTATATAGATATAAGATATATGAGCAATTATTAATTCTAAGAATAAAGTAACAGTCTGCTGAGATCTCAGCACCCACCCACAAATGCAGAACAAGAAGTTTAGGAAACCATGATGAGAACATTTTTAAAAGTTGGAAGAAACCTACCTTCCTCCAATGTCTCTCCATTTATCTTGTTTCTTCCATTCAAAGTGACTTCTCTGTGGCCATGGACCTCTTTCTTGTTCTTCATGTTTTGCTGTTCTTGCTCCTTAAAATGCTTCCTCGTTTTTCTACTCAACAGCAACTGGAGCTTTGCTACATCCAGGCTTATGTTTGAGGCAGCCAACTCCTTACTATTTCCAAATAATTTCTGAAAGATCGCTAGATGTTCTTCAAAGTTTTTTTGGGCTGATACAAGATCTTCCTTCACCTCCTTCACTGAAACGCTGAGGAGGTCCCCTAGGTTGGCCTCAGTTTGATTGCAGCAGGAATGAATATGATCCCAATGCAATTCAAATTTCTTCATCTCTTTGGTAAGGTGGCCAATCTCTCTTTTTAGGGTTGTGATGTCATGGTATGCTGGATTGTCTAAGGCATCCTCCATGACAGCTTCATGGTTTGGCTCCATATATTCTACTCTACCATGTTGGGGATTGTGGTCTATTTGTTTCTCAGTATCAGGATCTTTCGAAGATTTATGATCATGTGGATTATTTTCATGATCTGCTTCCCAAAAGTCTATTCTCTTCTTAAAAGATTCTAGTGTCATACTTTGCTTCTTGAGATGGTCAGAAATTAATTTGATGCTCATCACAGGAAGTTGATCTGTGGATAGAATTACCTCTTCTTCTTCAGATAGGTGTTCCAAAATTTCCTCTCCAAGCAGGATCTCAAGGGCCTTCTCATGTCTCAATGCATCCACCAGCAATGAGTTAAAAGAACTGTTGAGATACGTCACATGGTCCCGCATCTTCTCGTCGGCTTTTTTCACCATATCAATCTCCTCAGAAAAAACTTCTGAATGGTTTTTTAAGAGAGACAAGCCATCTTGTAGCTTCCAACTTTGCTCTTGCTGGAAATCCAAAGATTGGTGGATAAGCGGGAAAGCAGCAGTGAGATCTTTTAAACGTGCCTCCAGATGCTTCAGATGTTCTCCATGCATCTCAGTGATGTTCTTTAAGTCTTCCACATTAGTACTTGAAGGCTGGTCTTCACAACAGCATGTCTTCATGGACTTCTGTAGACTCTGGTAATTTTCCTGAATATCTGCCAGACTATTATTAAGAACGAAAATCCTCCTTTCTACATCTTCTCTGTATTCATCGACCATGAGACTCCCTTCTATTAATCGTACTCGGAAGTCCTCTATGTCACGTTTTGAGCTGTCTTTTAGCCTTGTGATGGAATCTGTTAGTTCTTCATAGTCTTTTTCAGACTCCTCATAAAGTGTCTTTAGCTCCCGAGCATGTTTTTCCAAAGTCTGATTGAAGCTCTGCATATCTATATCAGCAAACCCCTCACCCTGATTGCCCAATTGCCTTGGGAACATTGCAACATTTCTGTTTAGGAGCTCAAACTCACCACGGAGCTTATTTTGCTCTTGTCTCATGTCGGCCAAACTGTTGTTTAAAGCCAATAAAAAAGACTGCTGCAGCTTGTGGTGTCTCTTGAGCTTCAGGTCCGTATCCGCTTTGATCATCGTAAGATTGTAATGGATGGAGGCTTGTTGCAGGTAGTTATGATGATCCATTTCTCGCTTCATCTGGTCGGCCCTCAGAACATTGGCTTGGACTTTGGATTCGAACTTTGTCCCTAGTTCTTGGAAATCTTTTCTGGGCACAGAACTTTCTTGGAATCGCTCTATGCTCTTCCGGTTAGCTTCCACACTCTGGGAAAGATTGTGCAGAGCAATGGACAGGTCCTGTAGACTTTTGTTGAAACTGGCCCAGACAGGATTGAAATGCTCCTTCAAGAAACTGTTTATGTGGAGAAAGAGCATTTGCTGGACTTCTGAAACACATCACAAACCAAAAATACATTAGCATTGACTTCTATGCTTGATTGATTGCCTCAGATTCTTGGGAAATGAGGGGTCTTTGATGCTCTCTGAGCTTGGTTGCTTTCTTCCTGATATTTCATAACCATAGCACTGGTGATGTTGCCTAATTTGGGCAATGAAACGTCTGCCAGGAAACACCCAAGGTCAGAGAACACCAAGGATACCACAGTTCTCCTCCTCCTGTTCCTCCTCCTCCTCTTCTCTGCAAACCCCACTCCCTTCCAGCAATTATTATGTTGCCTAGTTTAGGTAATGAAAAGTCTGCAAGATAACTTCCAAGTTCAGAGAGCATCAAGGACCTCACAGTCTTCCTGCTCTTCCTCCTCTTTCTCCTCCTCACTATAAACCCTCCTCCATAAACCTACCTCCCTTCTAACACTGATGATGTTACCTGGTTTGGGTAATGAAAAGTCTGCAAGATAACTTCCAAGTTCAGAGAGCATCAAGGACCTCACAGTCCTCCTGCTCCTGCTCCTCCTTCCCCAGCCCCACCATCTCCTCTTCCTCTTTCTCCTCCTCACTATAAACCCTCCTCCATAAACCTACCTCCCTTCTAACACTGATGATGTTACCTGGTTTGGGTAATGAAAAGTCTGCAAGATAACATCCAAGTTCAGAGAGCATCAAGGACCTCACAGTCCTCCTGCTCCTGCTCCTCCTTCCCCAGCCCCACCATCTCCTCTTCCTCTTTCTCCTCCTCA